TGCATTGGCCTTTTTAGCTGCTGCATCACACTGTTGACTCATGCTCAAATTGTGGTCTACTTGGACTCTTTAGGCAAGATTTATTCAGAGGGTGTTTGCCATTGCCATCCTATGACACCACTTCAACAGTGTAGCTTGTCCAAACTTTGTTGTTGTTGTTGTTGTCATATGCCTTCAAGTCATTTCCAGCTTGTGGTGACCCTGTAACAGGATTTTCTTGGGAAGATTCTTTAAAGGATGTTTGCCAAGGCCTTATTCTGAGGCTGAGAGAGTGTGACTTCCCCAAGGTCACTGAGTGGGTTTGATGGCCAAACTGGGAATCAAACCCTGGTCTCCAGCATCAAAGTCCAACACTCAAACTACTATGCTACACTGTCCAAGCTTAACTGGCGTTTTTCCATGGTTGAGCAGAGATTTGAATCCTGGTCTCCTGGAGTCCTAATCCAATGCATGTGTGTATGTGTGTTTGTATGAGAACTCTTTTGATCAGTTCATCTTAATTAAGAAATATATGCAAGCTGTAGACTTTCACAGAGATCCTCATCAGGCTTGATAGGGCAGCCAATGTGGGTTATGAAATACAAATATTGTGAAATGCAAATGAAACCTTGCTTTGCAGATAATGCTGCAGAGTGCCAATAAACAAGGAGGCCAGCTTGGAAAATCAGATTTCATCTCATATATTGATAGCCTCCAGCAACAGCACAGTATAAATATGTCTGTGATTATAATTATTTAGGAAGATTTCATATCGATCACATGGGGAATCTACTCTGGGGTTTAATCCAAACTTGGAACTATCCAAGGTATAGAACATATTTTGGGAATAGAGTAGGTTGCCTTTGGTAGCTTTGTTCAGGTTTGGATTAAAACCCAGAAAGCTATTCAACATTTTTATCAATGACTTGGATGATGGAATAGAGGGCATGCTTATCAAATTTGCAGAGGACACCAAACTAGGAGAAGGAGAAGAGGAGAGGATAAAAATTCAAAATGACCTTAACAGATTAGAAAGCTGGGCCAGAACTAACAAAACATATTTCAACAGGGAGAAGTGTAAGGTAGTACACTTAGGCAGAAAAAATGAAAGGTTCAGCTGCAAGAAGGGGGACACCTGACTTGACAACAGCAGAATCATAGAGTTGGAAGAAACCACAAGGGCCATCCAGTCCAACCCCTCAGCCATGCAGGAACTCACAATCAAAGCACTGCCAACAGATGGCCATCCAGCCTCTGTTTAAAGACCTCCAGAGAAGGAGACTCTGCCACTCTCTGAGGGAGTGTGTCCCACTGTCGAACAGCTCTTACTATCAGAAAGTTCCTCCTAATGTTTTCCTGTAGCTTGCATCCATTGTTCTGTGCCCTATTCTCTGGAGCAGCAGAAA